CAGAACTAACAGCTTGTTGATACTAGTCACTTGATGATAGCCATAAAAGAAAGGAGCACACCAATAATAAAAGTGAGATTGAAATAGGGCAACTGACAGTTGAGTGACGAGTGGTGTGAACACGTGCGGGGCCCCAACAGTCTTCCGCCCCTAAAACTAACGTACGCAGTGTGTGTGCAACCGTCGACCTGAACAAACTAAGATTAAATTAACGAAAATATTACCACTAATCTATTCATGAGTACACCTGACATCCAAACGTGTTGAAGTAGAATAAAGTCTCAAAGAAAGACAGAACAACCTAAAAATACTAAATTTAGTAAGAAAAACAACATGCCGTACTTTCCGATAATTTCCTATACGGCGATGTGTTTCACTTGAGGTCTACTTACATCCTGCTAAAAGACAATGTACAATTGTATACTTTAGGCGTTGCGGAGACTACACTAGGAATATACCCGTTTCAATAAGAGTCCTGGTTCTGTTCCATAATTCTCTGGATGTAATTATGACGTATCATCGCCGGATATACTTTATGTGAGCTGTCTCTTCCGTGTATCGTATGTATATTTAATTGTTCGCTCCTGTTCATCCTACGTACACTGACAATCCCTACAGGGATGTCGTGTTGTTCCTGGTTGCAGGAACAAGTCCAAGGAGTAAGTTTCTCTGGGCAACCAGAAAGGTTGAGGAAAAAACAAAAAGAGTGTAAAGGCTGCCTGCAGGTATGTGAAACTTAGTGAGTCTCAAAACAAAATACCGTCTGTTACATACCCCGTTCATAGTAGTGACTAGTGACTCACAAAGGTCAAAGAAACGACGACCACTAAACACACACTAAAAGAAAGTTGAGGTGACGTCCGGACACAAATCAAAAAAACCCACAGAACAAGTCCGTAACTTAGACAACGAATAATTACAATATGGGCCAATGTGACGTCAACTTCAGTATAAGTAAAAATTACGTGATTCTAATTTCTCACACAGAGGAACTAGAAAGGGACGTCGTGTTGATTATACACTTTAAAGAAGAGCTCCTCCTCC